GGCTAGAAGATCTATTAGGTCCCTTCCGACCCTGAAACTATGAAACTATGAAACCTCTAGCCTCTCCCCGTCGCCGAGCGCAGTCCAGACGTATCCCTTCCTGCGCGCAAAAGAACCGGACCCACAGAGCCTAGCAAACTTCGTGTGAGTTTATTCAGAGCTCTTTCGGACGAGTATTTTCTTCGGTTGAGATGACAGGCTCACGTGTTCAGAGCCTTCAGCCGGATTGGGCTAGAGTTCACGAGTTTAGAACTCTTGTCCGCTTCTCTTCTTTCCTGTCTGTAACCGCAACTTAAGCAAGTTTTCCAGCCTGCACCACTGCCATCTCGGTGTAAGTAAACAATCTTTAAAACTACCGATACGCGTTTGTGCCTAATTCCAGCTCGACGGCCTTCCCTCTCCGACCCGGCATGCCCGGGCTGCTGGCCACAGCCCGCGTGCAGCACGGAAAAGGGTGTCAAAAAGTTAATGGTAAACAAGTGTATACACTTTAACATTACCTCAACAGAAAATTATTCCAAAATCCCTCAGAGAAGCAGGTGAATGAAGGAAAACCCCATCTGACTGCTATCTTTAGAGCAACAAAATTCTAAGTCAGTAATTTTCTCCTTTCTATTCACAACACATGAAATCTCGATAGCAAAACTCCCATTGATTTCAATAGGGTCAAGATTTTATTTCAGCATTCTAACTTCTGAAGATTAAGTAGCTCTGGGGTTTTCTAAAAAAGAAAAGAAAGGTAAATACAACTGCAATAGATAGCAGCAATGAGGCCAATACCAACCATGGAGAGGAAGGTAGGTATTGTGTGTTTAAGTTTTCAAACAGAACTGGCCTGCTCAGAAGTCACACCGCCCACTGGAGCAGTGTGCTCAAACTCCAGCAAGAGGCACGCCTGCACCAGGAGGCCAAAAAGCCGCTGGCCATCATCTGAGCTGGTCCCGGCAAGCCGGTTGTGGTGGCTCTTGAGGACGGCCATCTTGCCTGACTCATTAGAAACTTGGCAGGCAGATGGCGCCCCGCTTGGCCTCTCAGTACAGGTAGGAGCGCACGTAGGTGGTCTCCGAGAAACTCCTGCCCAGTGCCCACAGCAGTGGCTTGAGAGCAAAAAAGAGTGGCCGCGGGCAGAGTCACAGTCGAGGAAGGAGTGAAAGAGGCTCTCCTCAACGCCCCTGGGGCAGAAGGGGCAGGCTGTCAAGGTCAAAGTGGGATGCAAACATGCCAGTGGCTAAGATGCTGTGCAGTAACCACCACTGCAGATCACCAGTCTTCTTAGCAATTGGTGG